TTCATAACTCCTGTCCTCGTGGACCTAGAGCGTTCAAATTCGGTAGGAGTAAAGGGGGGGGGGCAGCATGGGAACACTTATGACAGGTGTTAGGAGCAGATCCAACTCACAGGGAGCAGGTTGTGCGTGATAGAAATTTTAGGTCGCAAATTCATAACTCCTGCTCCAGTGGACCCAAAGCGTTCAAAATTGGTAGGAGTACAGGGGGCGGCATGCACGGGAACACTTATGACAGGTAACAGGATCGAACTCCGCGTACAGGGGGCGGGGCGTGCGTGATAGAAGTTTTGGGTCGCAAATTCATAACTCCTGTTTACGTGGACCTAGAGCGTTCAAATTTGGTAGGATCACACTTTTCGTATTACCAATGGAACCTCAGTAATCTAATAGGTGATGCAGGATATGACGGACGGATGCAGGTACTCGGTGACAGGAGCTGATGATAACTGATGAGAGAAGATAAAGGACCTAAGAGTGCCACCTACCGATCAAAATCCTAACATCTTCGGTACTTACAATGTAGCTTTGACCGTTCAGTATGTTTGATTCGATAAGACGAGATGGTAGAGCAGGGTGACAAAAGTGAGTGGTAAGTGCGGCGATAGGACCCATTAGGGCAATACGATAAGCAGATTAGAACTTTGTTCATTTCTTACTATTAGATCACGACCGCTGCCCAGCAAGGTTTGTGAATCAATGAAGGATCCTCTTTGCTCGATGTGATTTGCGACAAACTTATTCGACCGCCTGTAATCTAGAATTCTCAACAAATGATATCTCCGCAAAGAAAAGGATCCATTGATAAAAAATATCTGATAACGGTGCTATCGCCACTCAGAACATCTCCACAGCATCATCTTTGATTGTCTAACAGTTGGATTTTTGATGGGTATTTGTTCCAAAGATAGAGAGCAAAAGTTCGTGACTTCCAATCGAAGGCGTAAGAACCGACTTTAACAGAAAAAGAAGTGGAGAATTAGACTTACTACAGCTATCAAAGAGGGAAGCTTTCGATTTCTGTTGTGTCATAGAAGGGTTTCGAGCTCTGTTTCAGTTCCACACCCTTACTCAGCTAAACACGGAAAAACTTAAGGACTATAAACTTTGAAAAAGGGAAACAAATTCTTAAGTTCAACATTTCTCGGGATAGGGTGTTTAACACAGGAAGGAGGAGAGCCTGGCGTTAGCCGGGCAATCCGACCGGTATAGCAAGATAATATGGGTGGTCCGCATGCCCTGAGGAAGCGTGATTAAGCACTAACAAAAAACACCGTGTTGGTTCACTTTCCTGCGATGTTCTACTGGAACCCTCACTTCCTACATATCTACTACAAAAGGGTTGTACTCAGCGTATATCATTTCCTTGACTGTCCTTATTTTGTTTTCTCCTTTCCACACGAACCGACTTGCTTCTTGATTTCTTCTCTTTTATCCCTTTTTTCAGCCATGCGCTCAGTGACGATAGAATCTTTCGGTGAAATGCGCGATGAACGCCGGGTGGTCCTTATCCGGATAACAAACGGTGAGACTCGTTCAAGCGTCATTTCCTCTACTGTGTAACTAGAAAATATACTATATAGTGACATGTCAATGGTTTTAAGAACTATAGTTTTCCGTTGATAAAGTTGATTTTGTAGGAAATGGTATGCGTGTAGAGCTACTAAATCTGGGAGCTAGCGTTCGATCAATCGTCGTTCCGGACAGGGAAGGTGTGTTGACAGACGTTGCGCTCGGCTTCGACACCGTGAAAGGTAATTAGAGTTTCATGGAAATTGTAGAAGGATAATAACTCGAGAAGATATGGGTGTTAGCAGAGTCTGTGAAGGACACATCCTTGAATGGATTACTCTTATAGACTCTGTAGTCTTTATCGTTGCTTTTTGAAGTATTCATTTCTTTGCTATTTTGTGCGTTTCTCGAGAGGATTTTTATGTTCATATGCTTGACTTGTGACGTACAAAACCATCTGAGTAGTTGGTGATTTTTGGGTACTTTTCGCAGAGAAATTGGATTACTTCTACATGTGGCTGAAACTTCAACTTCAAGTTTATTTGAATTATTTACTGCATGGTAATAAGAATCTTTTGAATAGCCAAAATATAGATGTTGAAAATTCTTCTGTTCAAGAACCTTGTTTTCTACTAAAGTTTCACCCCCTCATCGTTCGCATAATTAATATAAGGTTAAGTACGATTGAGCAGGGGCGCCTATTTTAGTTAAAGTTATGTACGATTGAGATCGCTCCGCACCTGGAGAACGTCCGTTGCGTCCGTCCGTCAAAGTAAGTCAGCCAGCCCACTTCGCGCGCGGCGCACCCCACTGAGGTCTCGAGAGGGAGGCGGTCGTTTGGCGCGATGGGCGGGGTCGCGCCGCCCATTTGAGGCGGCGCGACTCCGCCCATCGCGCTTTCAACTCGTTCAGATCGCGTAATCTTCTGCTCTCCTCTCCTCTATTGATGTTCGATTGGGCTTCTATCATGTATAGACGCCTCAAATGGGCGGCGCGACCCCGCCCATCGCGCCAAACGACATACACCCGTCTCGAGATGACATCACAGTACCAACATGTGTCAATGGAGCGACTGATCTGCATTTGTCCGTGTTATCTTCTCTTTGGCTGGCTGCCGTGAACCAAGCGCAAATCGCCCCACTGACAACTGCGACGTATGTCAAGTATCGCGGGCGGACCCGCCGCATGCGAGTTGTGACCTGGTTTCGACGGACGCGCGCAATGAAACGCACCCGCCGTTGACCGAGCGTAAATTATATGACCCAGTGGCCACTGCGACGCTCGTCAAGAATCGCTGGCTGACGCGCCGCGTGCGACGGCTGAGGCATAACCGATTTTCGGCAGAAGTGCGGAACGATGCGCAACCATTACATTGACCACATACGCATTCGATGCACCAACGAGTTCGAGTAGAATTCGAGTGCTGGTCGCAGCCCATGGCCGGATTGAGAAAACGTTGAGAACCATCCCTTTTTCTTCATTAATTCTTAGTAATTGGTGCGTCCTAGTCTGCCTAATTCACTACCCTTGTTCAATAGTCTTCGATTCAGAGTATGAACAAAGAAGGGCGATTTCATGGTTACCGCTTCTCCACTAGACCTGGCGTGATCAATTGGATCTGATTATTAGATCCTTACGGCTGAAAAAGAATAGGAAATTGTCTATCGTACTCAGATTTCCATGACTTGCCTTTTCCATTCCATTGTACTGGTAACGAAGGAATGTGTCGTGTTATGGAATTTTTTAGTGTTCAGATACGTTCACCATAACAGCGGGTGTTACAGCTTTTTTTTGACAAAACAGTGCATAGCGCGGTACAAGCTAAACTTGAAGGAATGGTTTATTTAGGGTTAGGATTATTTGTTCAGCAAGTCATATGGTTGTGAAGAGAAGTCAAATGAGTGCTCGGTTCGAGAGAACTTTTAATACTGCCAACCAAGCTCAAATGAATGGAGGCGGGTAGCGGCATGTCACCAACTATCACTTACGCATTGTGCTGACATTAAGTCTCGGCTCGATATTCGCCCAGGCTGAAGTAGTCTTCCGTTCCTTTGGGGTGGGGGATAAAAGCCGCTTGCCTAGATAAGAACGCAACAATGTTTTTGAGTGGAAGTCGAATGCGCAGCATGTCCCAAAACGAGGTTGATTGACGACAAGACGCTATTAAGACTGTAACTAAGCTTGAAACTCTTGAACAACACTCCGTCGGTGTAGATCAGATATTTGAGTGCCACGATATCCATTTAGCCGGTCAAGCCTCACATAACCAGCTGAGTCATGGAATACCTAAGTCGACTGAGAGCACTAATTTACTACCTTGTACGACTTTTAGTCTTCTGAACAACTATAAGGGATTCACAAGCATGCTAATAGCAATTCTGATTGAACGCTCATTTAGCTCGGACTAATCCCAGAACAAGCCTAATCAATTACGGAACTTCGACCTCTTTTCTTTTACTATATCTGATGGATTCACCGTTTTTATTCTAGTACTATCAAAGGCATCAAAAAGTGTGAGCGCTATGATCGTTTTCACTTTCCAGAATGTGCGTAAGAGCGATAATTTTTGTTGTAAAGCTTACAGAATCGTCGATGAGTCACCTTTTATTTACTCTGTTCTGCGAAGCTACAGGCTGTCGTTCCTGTGTGCCACATACCTGCATTCGATTGATTCTGTGCAATCTAGTGGGTAAGTAGGGTTTGATCAGGGAACCTCTACCCTTCTTTCACACAAAAAAAATTACTAAACTACTCTACCGAATTGCAGCTTCGCTGTTGTCAAAAGCTCAAAAACGCATGCTTATCGATGTTTTCCTCACTTAGAGTGTGTTACGCATTCGATTTCCATCCTGACTACTGAAACTTGTGCGAGTGGCCTTTCACAGTGACGTGAACGGGACAGGCGACCAAGAATCCAATAAAATTTCTTACACTATTTGTTGAGCACTGCTCAAAAGAAGTTTATGGTAGGCATATGTCAAATCACATCCCTCCGATAGTAGTGCTGTGCAACCAAACAAGGATTCATCTATATTACATGTTCAGTTTTCCTTACAAGCACCAACTAACCACATTGTGTCATTCGAATGGAATAAGATGGGTTTGAATCTTAACACAACGCCGGACTTTCCATAGTTTTTGTCAGAGCTGTTTCAAGCCTTGGCATAATGTCATACAGATTAGACTGGACGGAATTGTTGAAAAGTAAAATGTATGACGATTAGATTCCAGTGTGACACTGGGCAAGTGAAAATATCCCCATGACAGTTTTTACCCCTGAAGTTAGATGTACCAAGAATTTTGCCAGTAATTACAACGATACTTTCTCATGGTTTCAGAACGACTCAGAGAATGGGCATGATCGTCTGAATCACAACTATGAACTTCACCGAATATGCCGCAAATTCAAGTTTCACCAGAAACTGTGATCCCCATTGAGCATCAAATGGCTTGAGTCATAATTCTCGGAGTCTTCCTTTTTCTTGGTGTGTTCATATCTCATGAAACACAGTCACCCGGAATAAAGAGGAGAGACAATGGATAGAGGGACATAGAATAAGTGAGAAAGGGGCTGCTTTGTAAAGAGAGGAAGAGTTTAAAGCAGTCAAGAGACATTTTTTATTCATGTAACCTTAAGGGGAGCATAGAACCATAAACTAATCTTCCTTGTGCTTGATATGTTCTATGCCGGCTCTTTTAATCATTACACCGTCCCTATTAGTTGAATTTGTTCCTACGTCGGAGTTACTAAATATTGTCGAAGTGATTTAAGCTTACGAAAACGACCGCCACCTCATTGGTACTACGCTGGGTCGGGTTGCTGGGCGAATACGGGATGCTCGATATGCCATCGACAGCCGGGAGTACTTTCTGGCTCAGAACGATCACCCACATCACAGAAATGGAGGAGCGAAGAGCCCGTTGAGTAAGGTAAGGTTATTGTGATTTCTGCCTTCTTACTAACCAGTTGTAAAAACTCGGTTCAGAAAATTTGGAACTACACCTTGCTTGAGGAGGGCAATGGCGTCGTATTTACTGTCAGGTCACACGACGGTACTGTTGATCTAAAGATTATAACTCCGTATAGATTTCTTAAGGTAATGCTCAGAAACTTTCAGGGGATGAAGGCTATCCGGGCAACGCCATTGTGCAAGTCTCATATGTACTCACAAATCACAACGAGATTTTGGTGCAGTACTCAGCAAACACCGACAAATCAACATTGATGAATTTGTCAAGCAATTTCTACCTCAATTTGGACGGTAACGAGGTACAGGCATGTTTGGGACTTCAAAGGAACCGACAAAATCTGATCTGGTTTAGTAAACTTTGGGCCGGAACCTGAAAGTTCAAGAAAAAAATTCCAATTGGAATTCTGCCGTTTAGCACATCGGACTCCTTTACTTTTTCCAGTGGATCACAAGCGCAAACACTCTCCAAAACGGTTTTCAGTTTTTGATGCCAATTCACGGAATGAGCTCTGAACTCTTTTCTAAGTGCACGAACAGCCTAACCACGAATGGTGTGCTCCCTACCTATAAACCACTTTTGCAACCGCTCTTCATTCAGCAGCCCTCAGTCCTTTCGGTGGAAAAGTGGGGAGCTGGTTCCCCTATACAAGGTTCAGGCCAGGCCTCGTTCTAATGGCATTATACCGACGCTATGCCATGCTTCATGCTCACCCTTGTTTTTACTACTGTCTACTGTTCGTTCAGAGTTCTTCGCTGAACAACCACAAGCTGCAGGTGACAGCCACATCCTTTCTAGAGACGAAAAAGGATGGTACTGTGACAGGTAGGTGGAGCTCGGCCTCTTGCACGAAATATCTTCAAGTTCTCTCCTCTTTCGTACACAATGTCCTTCTCGTAGGCGAAATAATCGCTCTACCGTCAACTTCACGGGATCCTCAACCGATAACTGCAGACAATGCTAAGTTCTTAAGCCGGATCTACTGTTTCGATCAGCTTCAGACGAAATCAGCCAAGAAATTCCGGCATATGATGAGGTGAGGAGCCTTTTCGGCATGATTGCCGAGTGCCCCCTATGAAATGGTGGAAAAGACAAAGGAGCGCCCATTAAAGGCACGGTTCACGATAAATAGGTTACTGAGTTTTTCTTTTAGGAATACTCAGCGCCCCCGCAATGGGTGGTAGAAGGGACCCTCTCGCCTTCAAAATCTCGGCGCTTAGGGCATAGTGGAAGCCCCGTTGTTCCCGTAGTTCGCTTTCCCGCCTCTCGATCGGTGTCACGTTAGACGAGTGTCGAGCCAATACAGATTGCTATTACTCATTCTAGGACCCACACACAATCAGCTAATCGTCGAGTGATGAGGCGATGTTTTTCCCCCATTCTTTTTTCCTCTATTTTTCTTTTTGCTGCCGCGATCCCTTATTTGATTTCCTACTGCTGGAGGCTGAAAAAGGTGAGCTACTTTTGCTGTTACTAGGGCTTTTTGTTTATTTATGCTTATAAGTGAAGGAACTTTCGCTTACCGTTGTCTGTTATTCGCACCAGGACCCACACGCGCGCAGTGAAACACACTGTTTGGCTCGTCCGGACGCCCCACTCTTCTTCATTTGTCTGGTCTCATCCTCTCCTGCCCCTGTATAGCTCGTCCTAACGCCCCGCTCTTCTTCATTTGTCTGCTCTCATCCTCTCCTGCCCCCTTTTTTTCGCAGCCTTTTTTTTACTTTGGAAACACCGATTCACGCAGTTTCTTCCCACTCATCGCACTGTTTTCGATATTGTCTTCCATTTTTCCTCATAACCTGGATTACCCTAAATCATCGTGAACTGTGCCTTTAAGATGTCCGGCCACGCCCTTTTTTTGGTGTGATCTGACGCACTCACGTTAAATCGGGTAACAGAATTCTCCCCGAATCCCGACGGCCTACGGCACTGGTTCCGCGGCGTCTCTCCGCATCATTTCCTTGGGAAATCAAATCTTTCTCCTTCATGGTGCGCGATCGCGTGTGGCGAGATCGACTCGCCGTTCGGATCATAGACTCGTAGAAGTTTGAAAGCAGAAATGAGACAGCTGACTGACGGCGGCGGCGTGACCAAATTTCGACAAGGGACGGAACGCGTTCCATGTGTCCGTCGAAGCGCGATGACGGGATGACCCTTGCTTGTTTGCAAAATATTTGATAGAAATCTTTATGAAATGGTTTTTACATTCCATTAATCCACCCGGTATCAGCATAGGAAACCACTGCTAAAGCTCATACAGCAAAACATTTCATTTCAGATGTGTTCAAACCACCATCCCGTTAGTTCCAAACCAAGCAAGTTCAAGCAGTTAACGCTTTCAACGCGCGCATCAAAACTTAATGGCGCAGATCATGATAATGACGGTTCTGAGATTCCCCCCACAGGATGAATTTGAGGCCATCGCGTATGCCATACCTGGCACGAGTAGGTCGGAAAACGGTCTAGTGCGGAGTTATAAAGGCTCAAAGATTGGCCCGTGTAAATCCTTGGCATTGTAGAGGCTGCACCGATTATAAGGGAACCCATAGAGGACGTTCAAGCAATTTGTCATGACCAATAGCGACACTAAGGTCAGTTCTGCACAGTTCTGGCTTGATGTAGTCGGCTCTTTGCGCAATTGCGTCAACTGAAATCTCGTCCGAATACCCCTTCCATGTTTTTTCCGTCATAACAATCTCATCCAACCTCTATTTTCCCTACTTTTGAGGAGCCATATTTTTCTCGAAATCGGCGAATTCTCTCGCTTTCTTCACTACCAATGGACTGATCCCACCTTACACTTCCGCTTTTCAAGCGACCACAAAGGGGTACCTCAAATTTATCGTGGTGGGTGCCTTTAAAACTTATGTTTCGGAAGGATTAGTAACGAATTCGATTACATAGTAAGTTCCACTGAAGGTTCTCCTCATAACGACTCCTCGGCTGTCTCGTGTCAAGAATGATCAATATAAGTTATAAGTGAAAATAAGTTGAAGTGAGAATAATAAAGCATGAAGTCTTTGTCGTTGAACAATTCCGTAGGACTTGGGAGACCGGGATACACCTCACAGTCGACTTCCATTTGGAATCGCAGTGGTATACTGAGTGCGTGTGGGGCCTACACACGGAATTGAGATGGTCCCCTGATGTTCAGGTATGTACTTTCATCCTCAGAAGAGTCTCAGTCAACCAACCACTCGGAGGGATGTAAAGCATCTGAGATCGCAATAACATAATTTCATAGCGCTCCCTCAGCGCTCTCTCACTTAACTTGAAATTTCAGAATTTTTTCGAGTAAATCTGGCATCGACCTCAATATTACTTCTACTCTAAGGTGAGCTGTTCACCTATTCAACCAACTTTGTTCAAATGAGTGCAAAATTCGAAATTCGAACAAGCATTAAAAGAAAATACGATTTCCAGCTGTATGCGCTTCGATGCGGGCATGGAACTTGACGGGATCGCTGGAAAAGAGGGAAACAATTACAAGCAGTGTTCAGCTTTTGTTGTTGGCTGTCGAGGTTTCGAAGACGCTTGCAATCAGGTGATCACAATGAGAAGGCGGAAAAGACGTGAAATGATAGTGGGGGAAGGGAAACCAAGGAAGGGATAGAAGGTTAAATCCTTATTTTCAGGCTCACTTTCCATCGATTTCTCTTCGACCGGATCAACTTTACCAGCACATTACCATCTATCGCTTCTCATTAATTGAATAAATTTCATTTTCCTGTGTACAAATCTGTGTTCAGATGCTTTTTTTGCAATAAATCAGGACAACCCAAAGCTATCAACAGTGCGGGTAACATTGTCTCGTTGCAATTCATGATGGTGTAGCATAGCACAGCTATGTACATAGCATTATATAGCTCTTACTCTACATACTTCCTCAAAATGTCTGATATCGGTATTTTCAGAAGTTTTTACAGATCCGGACGAAATCTGTATTAAATTATCCCCCTTTAAAATGAAGCAGAAACGTTATGCTGTAGGATTTCAGTTAACTCAAAACTCTACTGGAGCTACTCTCTGACGCTTAAGAATAGCACAATGAGCAATTGCCGGATCGAAAACGGGCTCAGGTGAGGCCTTGTAAGGGCTTCCGATTTGTCTCCATTGCATAACACTTCCGGAAGGAATCACATTTCAACGACTCTGTATAGGATGCGTCATTCACGCTGATGCATATATGTTGACAATTAATCGCTAATCGTCGTAGGCTTTGACCAATGCTGATGGCGGGAAATCAGTTTCTATCATTCTTTCGCTTACTGCAGCCTGCTATTTACACACTGCATGAGCATGAAGTTTCGTTCAAAAATCTATCCAAATTTCTCACTTCGTCAAGATCTGCATAACCCTACTCAAACTTGTTCCGAGAACCTCTATACTTAACAAATTTTGGTGTGGACTGTGTCTTTAAGCAAGTTATTAGGTTGGCAAATAAGTTCTGCGACAAAATGGAGACCTTTTTTCAATCATTTCTAAATTTTTCCATATCAATCAATTTTCGGAAAAATATTTACCGAAGAAGTCAACAGCCTTCTTTTATCCTTTGAGCCAATCACTGATGCCATCTCTTCAGGAGTGAGGGAGCTGTGACTCAAGGGAGTAATTGACTGCCGTTTTTGGATCACATTAAGTTACGTATTTCTTTTCCACAGCGGGTTGCTCAAAAAGGCGGAGCACATGGTAGTTAGAAGGGGGAACACTCCGGGAGTACGATTGATGAGTAACCTGGAACCAAGCGGGATTGGTGGTCGTGGGTCTAAAGCGAATTTTCTACTTGCGTAGTCCCTCTGTAGGGACCTGATTTACGGTTTACCCGTCCTTCTCTAACCCCGTTGACCAAATAAAGGGGATCATAGGGGCAAGTGATAGCTGTGTCCATCTAGTCTGCGTTTAGCAACTCATCGTAAATGGATTCCTTCAACCTCCATTAAACTAAGGGACGATGCTTGCGTTACTCCGAAGGCTAGTACAATACCCACCCTAAATGTTCAAAAAAAAAACACGAAAAAACGCGTTTTCGCGTTTTTTTCGTTTTTTCTCTGTAACTAGGTTGATTTGCAATTTTTTACATAGTGTGCTATACGGTTGAACTCAACTCCTCAAGCTCTATAGCATGGTTTTTCTAAAATTTTTGAAAGTTCGATTTTGAGGTCCCCCATCCGTCAAAGTTCCTGAGGGTACGTCATTAGCAGCGACCCTGCTATAATTATAACCAGAGGACATTCTTTTCTATTAGAAGTAGTCTGTGAAACGTGGAGTAGCGAATATTTTCCGACATTAGGTGAAAATAAGTTCATGGCATTTCTCAGATCGTCCTGATCACTTCGATACCAGTTTTCTCCAAAATGGATGAATTTGACCCTAAGCCAAATTCAAACGACAGAGGCTTTTCAAAACGAAGAATAGCCAACATTAGTTGATTTCTATNCTCAGAAAATGGTGTGCCTATTTCCCAGAAAGTTTACTTTCCCATAACTTGAAAATTAGTACTTTGAGTTAAAAAGAAAAGGTTATATAATCGTTTAAAATCCGGTGCGCGCCATGTTTTTACAAGTAGCATAGGTTTTCTTGCTTATTCGAGTGAAATTTCAGATGATCAGGGAGGATGTACGCACTGTTCCGGAAGTATTCATACTAAACTTTTCGTGAATGATCACCGACTGTAAAAAATCGTGACTTATCTAAACCATAGGACTATATATAGGCTCCCGATATCGCCCCAAAGCACAGTAGACAAAATTTTGATTCTTGCATTTAAAGCAAGCATCCTGAAACCTACATAGTTGGAATCCATTTTTAAAAAGCAACTCTGTCATATGAAAATCAATCCACAAAGTTCACTTCGAATTTGCACCTTAAGCACCGCTTTTCACCCTTCCCATTCTTTCAGCCACCCTATGGGCTCTCCTGCTCAGATGTTTCGTTTTTACCGGTATTAGTCATACTTTGAAGTTCTCCTTGTGTAATTCGTATGATTTTGAATATTTGCGCTATTTTCAAGTTCATCAGTAAGTTAAAGTAGCGGCTACATTTGAATGTGTGGATTGTAAAACAGTTTACTTCCGAAACAGTGCGTAGCTCCTCCCTAATCATCGGAAATTTCACTCAAAAAAGCAAGAAAACCTATGCTCTCTAGCTCCTTCATTACTTGCATCTCAGGCGATGTACATACCATGAAAATGTTCAAAATTTTTTTTCTAGCAATTGCGGCTCACACATGCACTTAGCATTTCTGCGAAATATCGGAGAGCTCCTTCAGATACTCATCCATTGAGCCACTACAGTGTTTGGAATCTCTTATTCTACATTTGCTAAAAATGTAACACATACATAGCTCTGTCAAATAGGTTGAAAAATAATGCCACTACCACTGAAGTTAAGCATGAGATCGCCGTGCTCTTGCACAAATTTCTGTCGATGTCACCGTTGATAGCATATTTCTTTGAAACACCAAGGTAGACCAACAGAGCTCCTAGAAATGTAGTCCTGAGAGAGTTGTGCATTAACCGACCTCGATGGGAGCCCTCCTCAGTCCAGGGCAGATGGCAAAAGCCTGTGGAAAAGAAGAGGTGGGAATGTGTTCCCATTTGTGGTGTCAAGAGTCGATACTCTCATGAAGCTTGTCAAAGCAACTCCATCCAGCAAACGGGCCCTTGAACTAAGCCATAGCCCACATTTATTTCAAGTCGTGTTGTCTGATGCCCCCATGCCGAGCGATGCAAATTGGACGGAATTCGTTGGAGAAAATGGTCGTGGGATCGAGACCATTCGACGAAGTTGTAAAGCTGTCGATGCACATGTGGCGATGAAATGTGAGCCGATTTTTTCCGTACCGCCATCCGATCCGTTCCCGTTTTAAACCATTGCCGCCTCCTTTGCTCCTCGTACGATTCAGGCGCCGAATTGGTAGTTTAATATGGGAGCCAATCGGTCAGGCCCGCGTAAAGATTTCAGTAACTTCATCGGTCCTTGGAATGGTGGATAAATTGGTAGTGAAGGATATTCGTCGGGCTGCAAGACTGCTAGAACTCAAAAGAACCAATCGAAGTCCAAAGAGAAAACAGTGTTTCTATAATTACACACGATGAAGGGCGAAGTTTTTGTTACAGTGTTTCCATAAATACATACGATGAAGAGAGAAGTTTCGGTTATGCTAATAAATAGCATTTCTGGGTGCCGCGTAATCGATATCCATTCAGACTACTAGTGGCGTGTTGAGGGCGTATATGGTTTACACAATGACTCGTAGGGGCCAGGCGATGTACAAGTTAGCGCTTTTACCCTCCCAGATGAGCCCGGTATCGTTCATTAAGAATGGAGAAGTCGGTTGGCCTGCGCATGTTGAAGTGCATCATTTGCCACTAAAAGCCACCACCCTACGAAGTTATATTTCTGGAAAAGTGCGGCAGAATCTTGAAATGATGANAGGTACGTTTGGGTAAGTCACGCCGCAACTTGAGTTATTCCGAACATTCCGCCTGTTCCACTAACTTGATAACGGTATTCTGAAGTCGGCCAATCAAATAACAGGTTACAGGCTATTTCGCCATTCCAAGCCAATGAAAGAATAAGGATAACTCTCTCAGAAATTTCTCGTTTTATGCAAGCAAGTCTAAGTCCCGCGATTCTTTTAGTGAATTCTTCAGGGGTGGCTGATATTCAGCTCACATCGCAAAGCTTAGTAACGAATATGGGCATGGTATGGGACGTATAGTGTTTGAGCAGGAACAGGAGGAGAGATTTAGTTTAATGGGACATTTGAGCCGTTTGTGTTGTTCGAGCACGATTAATCCAGGCAGGCAATTGCCCTTCACGTTGATTTGTGGGTGCCATACGGCTATGCGCAACGGTGCAGATATTGTGAATAACTTCCCTCTCGAATTATATTTACATTGACCGTGCACCCTCCCGATCAAACCTACTTGAAAAGGAAAGTGTACAGAAGGAATCGGTATTGGCTTGTGGAATTTCAGAAATGCCATATAGGCAATTCTCATAAGTTCTTTGCTCATGTGTTCTCTCTCAAAAATGAAACCTACCTCAACTTATGTCCCATTAAGTTGGTAATTGTCTTCTAGGAACGACTTAATGTCAGATGAGCAAGTTTTTCCTTATCAGAATATGCTTTCTTCTGCTATCAGTTCAGGTTCCACCCAATAATCACCTTTGTGATAACAAGTTCTTTTTCCATAGTTTAGCTTGAAATAGAGATTCCATTTACCTGCTGGGAAGGAATCTTAGACCAAATGGACGATGATAATCTAACCGTTTATGAACATGAGTAGAATTGCACGCTGGACGAGCTAACCTGCAAAGACTGGCACCTATTGTACCTTCCTGGATTTGCCATGCTTTATACTTTCATTCGCAATCGCGAGAGTATAAACATACAAATAACAAGGTATTAGGGATAAAGCCTTTGACGTTGTTATCGGTTTTGGGGTTGCGTCCCGCATTCGACTTTCACTCAGAAGAAAAGTGTTTTAGAATTTTGAAAAATGAGTACGTGGCCAACATAATGGCTTGCCAACAGATAGCGTAGAATGCCAGGTCAGTGCTATTATCCTCCCAGATGAGCCCAATTAGCCAACAACGAAAGCATTGTGCCATGGTCGGGTATTATCCCAGTGTGGCCACTTGACACTGCATCCCATCAGCCCCAACATAGAAATATTATGCTTGAATTGAGTCCCAATTCCTAACTTGT